TGTCCCTTCAAAACAGAAATTGGCAAATAGGAAACAGTTCTATAATAACCCATGTGGGACCATGGAGCATTTTAGATTAGCTATTCACCACAGGAAATCCTAGTTTACCCTTTTGTTATTGTTGTTTTTCTGTTCACAGTTCAGTCTATTTTAAGATGCTATCCATGGCCTTTTGGGGTATAATTACATTTTTCACTTGATCTGTAATTTAGTAGCTGGAATAAGAAGACAAAAGGTTATTTGGAATCAGACGTGACAGCCAGGAGGCTGAAGTGCTGACATTAGTCTGCTGCCTGACAGGTCTATGCCTCATGATTCGTCTGGGCGTGTGTTTATGATATATTTAAAAAGCAAGAAACCTAGCAGAAAGGATTCTCAGCCCACACGTAGGTACAGGCAACATGCACAATAACGAGCCTCGAACTGTCTGTTTTATTTTCAGTAGGATGCCTTTTATTTTTATTTTCGCTTGCTTTCACTGAACCTAACAAAAATAGTTGTCACACAGAGCATCAGAGGATGCCTTTTTTGCTCCCAGAAAGCATGTAATTGCTCTTTGTCCTTCTCAGTTTTCCTTCCATTAGCAGCACATATTCTGTTGAACTTGAATCCATGTTGTCGAGTCGGTTGTCTGCCTCACCATTTTTACACAGAGCAGTTGGTCCGTCAGTGGTCATGTTGCCTGATGTACTGAAAACCTGTTGTGGTGTCGGGTTCAGCATTTGCTAGCCAAAATAACTGGAAATTCTTCACTCTGCCCTTCACCACTGTAGGGTTAAATGCTGTACCCAGCTGAATTAACGTTTGCATCTCAGCAGTTGGTTGAAGTCTCTCCTGGCTTCCACTGGGCCCTTATCTCCTCTGCCATTGCACAAGTGGCTTTACACACAGATACTTTTTTCCTTTGATTTACTGATAGGAAGGCAAAGTTGCACCAACAGTGAATTTAGGACAGAAATGCAGATCTGACTCATTTGAGCAGGATGTGTCAGTGGGATGGCTGTGGTAGCTAGGGTTGTTTTGTAAACATGTTCTCATGATAGTTTATTTGGAATAGTAATATTGATGCACAGTGTATTTGTTATCCCTAACTGCCCTCAGAAGTCACTTTGTAGAGGAGGGTGTCTGGTGGGGGGATGTTAAGGAGGCATTTGCACTAGTGGAACTGTCACTGAAGGTCAGGATTATACCCAAGCATGTGTCCACGACAAGACAAGGCTAGGCCTAGTTTGGCATTGTAGTCAAGGCCAGTGAGGTGTTGCAGGCAGGGCCCGGGATAAATCCCAAACACAAAAGAATCACCTCCAGCAGATTTTCCTTTAATTAACATCTCTCTATAGAGCTCAGTGGCAAATGCAGAAAAAACAGCTGTTGGGAAGAAACTGCAGAGCCATGAGACAGAAACAATAGCAGAAATTACATAAAAAACATTTAAAAAAAAAATAGCTTACTGTTCTCAGTCATCAGCCTTTTTCCTTGAACATTCTTCTGTGGCACAACATCAAAGGCAAAACATTTTGCCTTAATCACACTTTTATATGTGTCTTGCTAGTTGAGACTATAGGATCTAAAAACTGCAGAATTTTTAATACCTCTATATAGCTAATATTAAAACAAGTATGTAAAAGATAGTGCTTTTTTTAAATCAGATTTTGTCTCAAAAGCCTGAATTTTCAAATTCCCCTAGCTTTAATGAATCTTCACTCAGATGAGTAGATAAACATATGATTTGTATCTGAACATAGCAACACAGGCACGCAGTGAGCCATTAAGTGAATGAATTGTCTGTGGACAGTGAGATAGGGGCAAAGCCCAGGTTTGAACATAGCAGCTTTTGTCTCTTAGTTCATCTCTCCGTTCAACAGGTCCCACTACCTCAACATTGCAACTCCAAGTAAGATTTCACAGTATGTATTTAGGAGGGTCCTAGTAAGTAGGGTGTCCTTTTCCTAGTTAAACACTTTGCAGCTTTCTCATCTATGACTCTGCTAACCCCTCATGGGTATATCTCTGGTAATGGTGCTTCAAGCTTTACCTTCCTTAGCTTTGGGCCCTTCCATTCAGTCTAATTATTTGCTTTTACAGGGCTTTACTTTTTCTCTCAAAAATCAAGCTTGAGAACTTTTGGTGGTGTAATAAAGGAGTCCAGGGAACTTGTTCTGGCAAAGGAGACTGTCCAAGCCAGAAGCCGAGGAGAGGGGTTTTAAAATACAGCCTCTAAAAAATTTAAAAACATTAATGTGTTTAGAGTCCACATCCACATTTGAAGCAGACACTTCAAAACAAGGAAGTATTGCTGAATCTGACCGTGTGATCTATTTAAGAAAGCGTATGTCCCACCTCAGTAATCAATTCTTTCTCTATTTTAAATCTGTGTCACTGACTTTCTAAAAATGCAGGTGCTGTGCTGTCACTTCAGGAGAGGTTCTGCTGCTCTGTTCACAGGGAACAGCAATAAAATTTAATATTGTCTTCCAATACTGCGGTCACCTCTGGCTACACTTCAGCCTCTTCCAGCAGGCAAGAGGGGTAGGGGAGAAAGTTATTTGTAACTAGCCTGTCTGCACTCCTGAGCTGGGGAGCAGCAGGAATGCACAACCAACAGGCGTTTAAAGAGCCCCAGATATTAATAACTGCTACAGTCACCATCAGTTTGCCCCAGGGTAAGAGACATTGAGTTACTGCCATTGCCACCCTTCAGCGAAGGGGAGACTCCAGCAACAGGCCATTGCTGAAGGGTAGAGGAAGAAATTAAAGTGCCTGGACCATGGAAAGAGGCAACACTAAGATCTGTCCTACTGTCCCATCCTTTACTGGTCCATGGGATGACCAAACTTGATAAAAATCACGGCTGTGCTGTGGTGTCTATCCTAATCCCAGAGAAGGAAGAGGATGCAGCACCAGCTTTTATTTATACTTCTTCCTACTGGATATTTGCAAATCTTTCCCACCATTTGGATACCACCCTGAAGGGCAGGAGGTCAGCCTCAGTCCCTATTCTGCAACATAAATCTCTCACATGGGATGAAATGACAAATAATTTTGGCAAGAATGGGACTTGAGGTTTATCGAGGTTCTGTTGCAAAGAGAAGCACATGATAAGAAACGTGGCTTCCTATTGTTGCTACAAAGGAACAAAGCACTAATAATGTCTTCTGACAAGTGACATCACTTCCAGAGAAGCAATGAGGGAAGAAGTAAACATCAAAACTATGAAATAAAGATTTTTCCATTGGCAGATCTTAGTTCCTTTGACTTCTCTTTTCATTTAAACAATATAGACACATTTCTAAAACTGTCAAAGTTGTGAATTATTGAGGGATTTACAAAAATTGCCTTCTTATCTGTTTTTAGTCTTAAGTGGCATTGGAGGCAACGAGTGGAAGTCTTCCAAATTCAGAAAAATTGGCCATATCCTACAGATATATACCTAATATATAATAGAGGATTGGATCCAGATAATATGTAATACTAAGCTACAGTATTCATTTTCAGGAACAGCCCTTTTAAAATATCTAGGAATGGTAATAAATGCTGTGCTTACCATCGTTTAAAGGAACGAGGTTATGAAGAAATAAAACTAATTATTTTTTGGCCCCAAATGTATACCATAACTATTAGGTGACTATTGAATATTGCTAATATGTGAATGTGAAAATTACATGAAGCAAAAGAAATTCTGGATTAAGAAACTGTTGGATCTGGTTCTTCAACAGCTTGCATCAGCTTGAGGCTGGTGTAAGATCTGCCTGCCAAAAACAGGCATTGCAGAATTGGAAGCATTATTTTTATGGTCATGGTAAATATATAGATATAAAAATTCTTTTTCTTCTTACAGTAATTTTAAGGAATTCTATATACATAACATTTCTCATTTTTCTAGAAAAATGACCCTTTTTTTTTTTTTTAATGTGTGTTCATGTATACAAGTAGTCAGGGAGAAAAACTTTGGCACTGTCATCACTGCCCCTTTTTTAACTTCCCCAGCAAAGTCATCCAGGCTGGTTGTGCAAGCTCTTCATTGGGGAATATTTTAATATTTTACATTAGGTGTGTTGCAATCTCAATTTTTCCCTTGTCAGCAAAGGGAACTATGGACACCACATTGTGTTGGCCGTAGCAGGATTAATCAGAGCAACACCAGAACAGACAGTCTCCACAAGGCTGCTCAGACCTTGCTACCTTCTGTCAGATGTCAAAATGGAAATAAGGGCTCTCCTTAGAATCTGGAGAGAAGGATGCCCAGGGAAGGTGTATGAAAGGCTGTTTACTCCAGTATGTTACTGGATGTCCTTCCCTGAAGCTGAGGCTCAGAAAGAGACATGCCTGGCTGCCTCCCTGCTCTTCTACGTGTAGCTTTTTCAGAAGAAGAGTGTGGAAGGGAGAGGAGGGGGACTGGTGACAGCAGGGATCCAGACAGGAAAAAGGCATTTTAGAGCTTCTCCATGAAAAAAGTAAATGCACCAGCTCTCTGAGAGCCAAGAAAATTGTCGTCATTGGGATCACAGGCTGCTTTGTGTTTCCCCTCGGCCTTCCTCATTCACTGGCAGCAACCAAACACGCTGAGCCCCAACATTTCAGGTCCTGCAGGCAGGGTCCTACATTGGCATTCTGCCTGTAGAGTGCTCAGGTGTTGCTCTGAGAAACATTGGATCAAATGACATTGAGGACAACTTTTTTGCCCCAAGTCAGCTGTGAGAAAGTACAGCAGAGATCGCAAATTCAATTGCTAAATAAAAATACTGTCTCTCAAAAGCATCCCTTAGGAGGCATTTTGCCTTAACACTAACAATTTAAAAAGAGGGATCTTCTCAGTAAAAATGTCACTTGAGAAGCCAACAGACTCATCCCCAATCTGATACATTGGGATATCTGCCCCTTACCTTGTGGTTTCCCTTCAATCTTTTTTTTTTTTTTTTCCTTTTATTTGAGCTATCATTCTAAAAACCACCCAACACCACCTTTATTTTTCCTCATTATTTCCCCTCTTGCCTTCCCAGGACAAGAAAAAGTCTTTCTTCTGGCTTTTTCCCACTTTATGCTTCAGAAACCCCAACACAGATACCCTGGTTTCTACCTATAGAGCACCGGCACAGCAAAGGAAAACAGTCACATTCTGCCGCAGCACAGAAGATGCAAGAAGGAGCAGCAGCAAAGGGGTTAAAGGAAGTCCCATAGCAAAGATATGCAATGCCTTGAAGTTTTAAGTACTACAATCTATGAATACATAAAAGAATAAATCTTTGCAACTCCAGATATTTCTGGTTGACACAAAACACTCGGAGCCAGTTACATAGGGTTTTTTTTCCTGTGAGCACTGGAATTGGTGATGCCTGGTTCCCTATTCATTTGTGCTCTATCTTTCTGCACACCCACTTCAGTAAGTCCAGCCATCCCTCCAGACCTTTCACACATCCCTCCCTCACCCCTATCCCTTTTCTCCCACTGACATTTCCTTTGCACTACCTGCAGAGGAGGCAGAAGGTGTTGCTGCCAGGCCAGCCAGAAGGGAGAGCCCTGGAGCTCCGACTTCAGGCTGTGTGTCTCACCTCAGTCCAGCTACCAAATTTCATAAAACTCAGACATCTGTTGCTCCATCAACTTCAGCTAGAATTAGTCAGCTGGTTCAAAAGATGGTCAGGGCAAGTGGCAAGACAGATTGACATACACTGCAATCACTTTTCTATAGGCAGCCAGGCTAATTTGAGGTTGATACTACCTTTTATTTTTAATAATAATAATATTTTTTAAGGTCTTTAGGTATGGTTTCCAGACATGTTTTTTACCTCCCTGTAAGTGTAAATGTAGCAATAAGATCCATCTCTTCTTCACCCCACCTTGTCCCCCCCTCCATGTTTGTAAACATACCTCTTCTGCAAAATACCTGGCTGCAGGGGATCAGCTGGTTTCCACCAGTGCCACACAGACTGCTTCTGTGTGTGTTTTACAGAAAGCTAGCCAGGTATATTGCAACTTGCCAACTTACAACCAACACGTTGGTTTCAGGTGGCTTTAAAAAAAATAAAATTAAAAAAAAAAAAAAAAAAAAGCAAATTTTGCCTTTCCCTGAATGCTGCAGCTGTAGGCAGTTCACAGTTTCCACTGCTTGATGGCTGCTGGGAGAAGGTGTGGCTGGGGGTGAATTGGGCACCTCACCAGCAGCATCTGAAGCCTGCTCATTTGAAGCTGGGAGGTGGGTGACTCCTCCCAACCTCTCCAGAAGATGGATGGGGCTTTGTATGGAATGGAGAAAAAAAAAAAAAAGAGGTTTCACTGTAGCTGTTCTTCATGTTCTTGAGTAACATATGTCTTCCAGCCTTCTCTTCTTTTCAGGTGGACTGAAGGGAGGAGAGTAATTGCTGCTATCTTTAGCACCTGGGAGTAGCAGCTTTAGAAGTGGCAAAGTGCCCTTATCCTACAGAGGATAAAATGGAGGGAATCTCTCACCTTGTCTTCCTCTACAGAGATCCCTGAGAAACTGCCCATTTTTTTCTCCATCTCTCAAAATGAGTACAGCCCCTCTGTTTGGTGGACAAGGGGTATCGCCCTTCTGTGATGCACTTAGGTCCCTGGCTGAGGAGCGCACACTGTCCTTGCTGCAAAGGCAAGAAGGGTCTCATCTTGGTACCTGAGTAGACATTATCATTCAGGATAATCTGTTTTCAACTGGTTTGCAACATCCAGTTCCCCTGATTTTGCTCCGAGTTACGTGCACTCAGCGGTACAAAAAAAAAATTATATCACAAAAATACATATCAGGTGACCTCTTCTAGTTTGCTCTGGTTTAAATCTCCAATTAGGCCACTTCTAAAACATGTTCTCCATTTTTTTGACTGGTCTGATTCCAAGAAAGATTGAGTTTCCTTCACTTCTTTAATGAGACTGTTCCCAGTGAGTTACTGTCTTGGTTGTAACGAGGGATAAGTGCCTGATTTCCTCCATTTGGGAAAGATCCCAAAAAAAATGCTTCTGCTCAACCTCAGCCATTTGGCTGGGAGGTTTCCACATCATGCGTCAAGCTGGCTTTTCTTCTCTGACTGCAGAAAACTGCTCAGATGAGATTGAGGGGAAGTACAAGGTTTTGACAGCATGTAGAAGATTCCATCTAATTGAGTTCATTGGGAATTTTTCTACGCAGCATTTTTTCTGTTGAAAAACGCCAACTCCGTGTGGAGGAGGGCCAGTTCCACAAATGACTCACTTTAATGGAGACGGCCTGGAGGAGCCCAAAGTACACGAGGCCAGGCTCAGGCTGGTGCCCAAGAGGGTGGTGTTTGTACCCCACGACCCTCTCCCTTATAGGGCTTAAGAATTCTGGGTCCAAAGTCTCATCATTGCCCTGCTGCCAGCAAAATATTGTGAAAATTCACTGATGTCTCATGTTTTTCCCATGACTGACCCATCCACAAAGTCATCACCTGAACCTTGCTGACAGTCAGTGTGCTGGCTCATACTACAGATACCCGTCCTTGGGTTTTTAAGCTTTGGTCTAGTCTGGACAGTTATCCATGCTGAGGTCATCCCCTAGTTCATATTTTTAGCTTGGGAAAAAGGTTCACATTGCTGCAGGAGTCCAAAGAAACTAGGGAAAAGAGTTAACATTAAAAGAGCCTTGAAGGCACACAGTTAAGCATTTGGAAGTTAGGGAATGTCAAACGGAGGGTCACCAGTACAGCCCCAGCTGTACATTTACATGACAGTACTGGTTTTAGTTACAGAATCTTATTTCTTTCCTGTGGGGCTCCTGCCTTGCTCAGCGCACTGGAGAAACTTTGCTCAGCTAAAGCAGCATGGTTATGTAGTTAAACATGCTGTTGTCCCCGAGTTGTATTCAAGTGGTTTAAAAGCAAAGATGTCCAAATTTTGCCTTCCCCTGATTGCCACAGCTATAGCTGACTATAATTTCTACTGTTTCCACTTCTTGAAAACTGTTAAGTCATGGCTGTGGGTGAATGGGTGACTGTGGGCAAGCAGCTTTGACTTGCTATTTATGGAAGTGGAAGGCACGTGACAAAAAGGGAGAAAAAAAAAAAAAGTCTACTGCAGTGAAGAAACTAGTTGAAAGTTGCACAATGAGCTGGATTACGTCCCTGCCCAGAGCTCTCATTTTGTGTTGGCAAGTAGCTCAAACATGTTTAGAGGCTAATGAGGCTACTTCTGCTACTGAGTGCACAAATTAGATTCTGCAGAAGTATTGAGTAAATGCAGGTGAAACTAATGGGATCTGTTATCTGAATATAGAAAATAATACATCCTATTAAATGTTATTAAAAAAAATGGAAGCTGCAACTCCAATTAGATGCCAAAAGGGAGAAAAGATTAATATAACAAGTCAGCCTCTTATCAATGAAATGGGAATAATACCAGCCTTTTGATGAAAATTGTTGTGTAGCATCCAGACTGCACAGCTTCTCGATTCCCTGGTGAGCCAAGGAGCAAAGAAGGGACATTAACATTCAGGATTCAGAAGAGAGTTTGAGAGGAACGTGCATGATATGAACTGGCTTGGAGAAAAATAGTCTGCACTCATCTAAACACAGACAGCGTCAGAAGACTTCAAGGGTCAGAGCTCAGCTTGAATTAAGACAGATCTGTCTTCTTTAATATTTAGCGTTGGGAGGATGAAAGAATTACTGCCCTAGAAAAATAATTTTTAAAATTCTGCTGGATGCTGGGATTTCACTTCAGAAGTAAATAGGGATGTTCTTTACTTTCCACTTCAAAGATATACATGCATGATAGTGAGTAATCAGCTGTTCACTGAGTGCAAGTCAGCGTGATGGAAAAATAGCCACTGGTTTGTTCCATGACGTCCTGGGAAGAAACAAGTAAAACAAATGACACAGGGAGTGTTTGATTTTTTAAGAGCATAATGTGGCTGAGTGGACCATTTCTTACCACTGTGGGTAAGGCAGCAGTCTGCCAGCTTTGTGGTTGTTAAGCAAAATTTTAGTCACAATATTGTAAGAAAAAGAAAGGAAAATAAATGGGACAGCTTTTTCAGGAAATGCTTCGGAAGCTTTCTCCCTAGACCATGCTTACTCCCTCAGTCGTCACTTGCTTTCCATCACTCAGAAGCAAGTATTTGGTCATCTCACAGATATCCTGAGGATTACTATTAATATTTTCTCTTATTAATATCTGTTTTCTATAGAAGCACCAATGTGTACTAGGCACTTTATAGACAAATAAGGAAGCGAGTTAGTTTTCCTAGAAACTTGCAATCAATAGGGGTTTGCCTGAAGTAGCATAAAACGAATCTCTCTGGGCTGTATTTATTTATCTATTACTTGTAGCGATTTATCTTGCATGCCTGGCTGTGACAGCTCTTGTTTTACAAAAACTAGAAATGTTGTAGGTGATCCACAGCAGAATCTAAGCATGACCTGCAGCTGGAATGGTATTTTAAGAAAAAAAAAAAAAAAACAACAAAGAAAAACAAAACAAAAAGAAGACATTCACAGATCAATCTTGACTGGTTCTTTTTCTTCCCATTCACCCTCCAAAATCTAGCCACCTCAGACACTTGGCTAAATAGATGTTTCTGTAGCCTGCCAAATCTGTATGTTAGAAGGAAATGGGGGAAGCAAAGTTCCCAGTGCTGACGGGGAACCACTGGGGAGAAGGGAATTGCAGGGAGCTCGGCGTGGATGCCGGGTGCTCTGGGTGTCCCGACCCTGCTAAGGAGGCTGGTGGCTGCAACCTGTGTCACGCAGAACCTCTGGTGGGTGCTCCAGGTTTGATCTTAAATAGCTTGGAAGTTCTTTCCCCCTGAAGGTGGTAAAGCAAGGAAGTCTCTTGCAAAGTCTACACGAGAGAAAAAAAATTCACATCCTCATTAGCATTTTAAATTATGTAAGGCAGTATGCTTCCCTGATGGCCGAGAAGGGGTACTAGGTCTAATAAATTCTGCTAATTGCTGGTATCATTTTAGGGAAAGATGATTTATCGTCCTTCGGTAGATAGCTCAGGTTCTTATTTACTGAACACACTCACAGACAGTAAATGTGCAGAGCTGCTCAAGATAGAAAGCTATTTGAATTGTATACTTCCTTTTTCAACAATGACATTTGAAAGGTATGCAGTAAGAAGAGGTGATTTGTTTTGCTTAGAATATAAAGCTTTCTGTTGATTTGGCTATGATCTTAGATCCATATGAAAAAAATGTGTTCAATCTTTCTAACTTCTTACTTTTTCCCCTACTACAAAATACAGTTGTGTGGGACTGTAATATCCAAAATTGTGATTCTGAAAGTCTGAATATTTGCATATTTCTGATGATACACTCAGATAATTATATTTTACCTGTACACAATTTAGCACAATAATGTCTGGTTTAGAGACAGACTTTGGGTATGTGAGGGTGGTGTTTATTGTGCATGGCTCCAGGTGACATACCAAGTCTTTCTTTCACCTATAATACATTTTTCAAATATGGCCAACTAATTAAATTTAGATACAGAGATGCTTCTGTATTGATACACATATTCTATATATATATATTGTATGTGCATAGCATATCTAAAGATATATACATATGCAGATGTACTAAAAGCAAATAGTGTAATGTTATATTACGTGAGTATGATTCATAAATATAAAATATTCCCACTGTTCTTTGGTTTCCATGCAGATTTATGGCCTATCAAATGGATGAAAGCCTGTGGCTGCTACATAGTGAAGCAGGCAGCTGCTCCATATTTATTTTTATCTTCATTGCTGAAAAAGTAGACCCACTGCTCATTAAATTAGTCCTGGTTCTTCCAGTAAGCACAGTCTATCTCCTTCGGCAGAAGTCCAGGTTAGAGATATTTGGAAGTTTTCCAGCAACACCTAGTTTTTTTCTTTTTTATTTTCCAGAAAATGTACATTTGAGCCTGAAATGTTTCATTCAAATGAAAAAAAAAAATAATTTAATGAGTCCAAGTGACCATATGTATTCACATATCACACCTCGCCACTTCCTTGGATTTCTTTGGGTGTCCTCAGCCTTGGTGTAATCTTCCTGATAGATTGGCTAATTATGTTGGGAGGTAATAATCCCCAGGCTTTAGGCAGTCTGCCATTAAACTGAGAACCTGAAACACAGTCCCCTGTCTGGCTGGCAGATCTTCCCCAGACACAGAAGACCTGAAACGGTGTTGTTTTCGCCAGAAAACTCCTTCCACCAAATGCCCACCATTTCCCCTGGGGCATAAAATTTTGGAAAAAAAGCCAAATTTCACACAGAACAAATCCCTTGCTTTTCAGCCAAGTCTAGTCCACTCACACTTTTTGATAAATCATCATGTTAATCCACAACACCTTCATCTTAATATTTGCCTCTTTCCTATTATGTCCATGGAATGACAGACTCTATGAATACATACATATATATATGTATATGTATACACAAAATTAGACAAAATATGTTCTCTGTAAGTAGGTAGATTCATGTTGTGCTCAGAAGGGCAGTGCTGGAATTCTTCAGATAGTTCTTAGCTTTGGTATTTCTTGGCTCCTAAATGTTTTAGTTTGCAGTCTATTTATAAACTTAGGAAGTTATTTTAAAGATGTATTTTAATGGAAGGTCTAAGAGGCTGATTTTGAAATAAAATACTCGTGTTTTTTCAGTAGATGTTCTAAAAATATTTTAGTTGTGTATGTGTTGTGGATTGCAGACTTTTGCAATAGCAAGGATTGGTTCTCAGGCAGATCCGGGTTTGTTAGGAATGACAAAATGGAGTATCAGGTTGTAAAGTAATCTACATCCCATGGTGATATTCAAGGAGAGCTCCAGATTTTTATAAATGTTGAATAAACTGACCAGCCTTTGTTGTACATATTTCTCGCTTGAACTTGTGCCAATTTATTCTCTGAAGAAATAAGGGATCTAGTTACTCTGGGAAAAACAGGGACAGCAAGGAGAAAAACTTGTGAATTAAAATTCATTTGCATGTTAATCAGTAATTCAGCACTTAAGCAAAGGAGAGACAGGAGCTTTACTACTTGTGGTATTATATATAGTGCACTTTTAAAACACTCTGGTAATTTACTGTTGGGTCCTTGTTCCAATATTTACAAATTCCTCTTCACAGGGTTAAAAACTAATGTCTTTGTCTGTTGTGGTTATGTTCCATTTCATATTTTTTCTTGTGTGAAAAAAAGTCCTTGTTACGAAGGTGGGTCAGCTTTCTAGACTGTAAGCTCTTCGGGGCAGGGAAGGGTCTCTCACTCCGTATTTGTACAGCATCGCAGGTGCTTTGACCTGGTCGAAGGCTCAAGCTCCTGTGCACTATTGCAATGCAAATAATAAACACTACTGAAAAAGAAAGAGTCTCTTCGGTCAATTGGAGTCTTACCCAAGTATGAACAGTGGGAAATTAGCTGTCAAAGTCAGTGCTCTCCATTATGGGTTGTTTAGCTCATAGTAACAATTTAAAACAGTAATGGGTTTTATAAACTAGCCGTGCAGCTAGTTGACACTTTGCAGACTTTAGAAGATTTGCTGATGATAAATATGGTGACATTTCTTGTTAACAATGAGTAGTGAGACTGTACAGATTTACCAAACAAAGGAAATTTCTTACTCTGTGACCCTGCCATTTGAAAAGCCCTCGAATCTTAAAGGGCCGCTGTAAATATAAATCACTGTAAACTGCAGAATTGCTAAAGCATACAGCAAAGTACTTCTGTAAATCTAGAGTGATCATTCAATTCACTACATGAATTACCATACAGTTAACTGCAGAGGACATTTCATTTTTTCTTAAAAAAAAAAAAGAAAAAAAAAAAGTTTCTCTAGGCAATGAGTTAATGTGTATTAGTGATTCCAGACATCTTAGAGAATAAAAACGAAACGAGCAATGGAATTAGCTCAGTAAGTATTCTTCTCATTTGATGCTTCACATGGTTATGGGAGCAGAGTCATCTCAGCTGAATATGAGCAGGAATTGATGGGAATGTTGATAGTGTGGATAGCATATGTAAAACTGCATTGAAGATAGTGGCCCAAATGTGTTCAGCAGGATGGATGGCCCGCTTCTAAGATGAGTCAAGCAATTGCACAAGGGCATGAAGCAGAAGGTGAAAAATGCTCAGGGTAAAAGTCTGTCATTATGAGATGGCAGAGATCCTTGTTTAGAGCTGGTGCCGAACTACAGGAGAGTCTCAGCTGAAGATTCACTGAATTGTTCCTCTCAAGTGGAACTTTTTTATCATTCAAAAATACGAAATGAAAGTATTGCAGTTCTAAGTTGTCTTTGACATTCTACTTTTGGAGGAGGAGTGCTTCAGACAGATTGCTCTGGTTGCTCAGGAGAGCTTTCTGATTGCCCAGCTGATGTTTTCCTTATAGGGAAATCTGCCACAATTTCCACTGTTTTTTTTCACCTGTAGCATAAACTTCCCATGACATTGGTCTCTGTGAAACCAAGGAGCTAATCTCCTTACTCCTGACTGATCTCCAAGGTCCTTCTGATCTCATTTGTGCTAAGCACTTGCTATGGTTTTGAAGAAGTGGTGCCTCCCTTTGCACATGATTTGCCAAAACCTGGTGCCTGGCCCTTACTGGGTGGGTGTAGAGAGCTGGTACCTTCATGGTTCCTAACTCTTCCCCTTATCAGTAAACGTGTGTGGGTTTCACACTGCTGAGACCGTCATTGATCAGTGTATACAGCTGGGGGAACGGCTATAATTGGTTTTTAGTGACTTTGTTGTTAGCTGAGAGCAACCACTTGTTCATTTCCAGGTGCTGGTTCTTTGTCCCAGGGCTCCCCTGGAAGAGATGTTCCCTGTCCCCTCTGCCCTGCAGAGCTGTCATGGTTTGAGCCTGGTCAGCAGCCAACCACCACGCAGCCACTCTCTCTCCCTTCTCTTCCGGCAATGAGAAGGGACAGAGAGCCAGGCTTGGGGTTCGAGATAGGACTGGGATGGGGAAAAAATCCCCCTTTATGGGCACGGGCAAAAGGCAGACTCGTTAAGGGAAGAAAAAAAAAGAACATACATTTATTACAGACACTAACAACACATAACAGAGTAGGACAGTGAGAGCATTGCCACATCTTGAGAACACCTTCCCCCCACCCCTCCCTTCTTCCCGGGCTCAGCTCTGCTCCCGATATCTCTACCTCCTCCCCCAGCGGCGCAGGGGCAGGGAATGGGGGGTGCAGTCAGTGCTGCCGCTTTCTCCATCTTCAGTGGAGGGAGCTTCTGGAACTTCTTCCCCCTGCTCCATTGTGGTCCCCCTCTCACAGGAGACAGTCCTCCACAAACTTTCTCCGACATGAGTCCCTCCCACGGGCCGCAGCGTTCCCCACACTGCTCCGTCGTGGGTCACTAACTTCCTCCGACTGGATTCCCTCCCACGGCTGCAGCCCTTCCCGAGCTGCTCCGGCGTGGGACTCCCCCGCATGCTGCAATCCTCCCAGCGCTGAATTACAGCAGCGGGGCTGCCTTTTCCCATGAGACCCCGGCCTTCTTCAGGCACAGTCACCTTGATCATCCAGGTGAAAAAACACAGGCCATAAATCAGTGTCTGCTCCACCGTAGATCTCCATGGGTGTCAGGGGGGGCCGCCCTGCCGTCTCACCACAGGATACAGGGGGGTCTCTGCTCCGGCACACCTCCCCCCTCCTTTCTTCCTCCGTTCCTCCACTGACCTTGGTGTTCACGCAGCTGCAGCAACTCCTCCTCACCAGTCCCACTGCTCCTCACCACGTCCCTTCTTAAATACGTTATCGCAGAGGCGCAGCTGATGGGCTCAGTTTTGGTGCAGAGGTGGAGCTGACTTGGAGCTGGGGGAGCTTCGAGAAGCTTCTCACAGGGGGCTGCCCCTATAGCCCCCTCCCCTGCCACCAAAAAACTCCACCACTCACTCAACCCAGGACAAGAGCCCAGACAGCTGCAGTGGGACAGAGGTGTAGAGCTTTATCTTGCCAACACCCCGTTGATTTGCATCGTGTGGATAGAGGCAGTTGTGGAAGTCAGCGGCGCAATCAAGCTCTAGATAACTTGGAACCGAATCTGGGTGATGTGATGAAGCAGTCTGAAAGTCTTTTGGGGATCACAGCTGGTCCTTCAAGTCCCGGTGTTTGCCTGGCATGTATTACTAGAGCCTGCAGCCGGGGGTATTGCTACACCCACCGCTGCTCTTTGGCACTTACAGACAGTAGTATCTAGTAAAGGTGCTTTTTTTTTAACCTGCGTCTACCTGGGGGTTGCAGTGATTTTCTTTAGAAACATTTCATTGCCGCCACAATCTGTCCCATTGCTGCTACCAGCTGCTTGTTTCTAAAAACCAAGCTAGAAACTGGTGTTAGAGCAACAGCCTCTTCAGTGGCTCATGCATTTCAGAGCAAGTGGCACATGTGTTGTAAGGCATGTTTTGCCTGTTAGTTTGCAAAGAAATTTCAGATGTTGAGGTTTGACCTGTAAAGCTTGAGGTGATAGGTGAACCCTTATCTGTGGAGATAACCTCTCTCTTCACAACATCTTGCTGCTGTTGAAGTTAATGAAGATGAGTAAGAAAGCAAAAAGCCCCCAGCTGGGAAGACCTCACCCTACACATCAGGAAAGTCTCCAGGTGTGGTGCCCTGCAAGTGCCATGCAGCACTGAAGGCTGTGAAACTGGGCTGTGAATGAAATGTAGAGCACAGGGGAAGTGGATGTGACTGGCTTGCTTTCCATGCCAAACTTGTACTTGTGTGTTAAATTACTATGAGCTGATGTTGACAAGTTCAAAAACTTGCTATAAATTAAAATAAAACAAGGGCAGCATGTAATCATGATGATGCTGATAGAAGATGGCAGGTCATGTAATGAAATCTCCCTGTATTACAGCAGTAGTAAACCAACTTGTTAAACTTCTTAATGCAAAATAGATGGTTTTAGAATGAAGTGAAAATGCATTTAAGTGATAAATTAACTTACTTTGTCTGAATAGGCAATAGAGTGCTCAGCCTGTTTTTCAAAATGAAGAGCTGATGAGCTGTTATTTTTAATGTTGCAATGAAAAAAATCTTAAAGTTTTGTCTAATTTGGAAGTTAACTTAATATAAATGGAAGCAATTAGTGTGGTGTGAAAATGTACCATGCAAAAATACATGGTTTTCTTCCAATGCAATGAAGCCTGATTTTAGCTTCGGTCTTGTGCGCTGGCAAGTCTTTGACTAGTTTGTGTAAACATGAGGTTTAAAATGCTGCATTGTCTGCTCCTGGCTGAGTAAATCCTTCCTTAATGCCGTCTATATTAAGTATGGCTGTCCCCTCCACTGGGGCTGAAGTGTGATACTTTACAAACAGCTGAAAGTTTTTCTGCAGCATTCCTTCAGGGGTGCTTCTTGTCCGCCGGCCTTTGCAAGGCCATGGCTGTGGCATGGCTACTTCTTCCCATGCCGGCTGGATTAAGTTTGTCTTTCAGTTGAAGTCCTGAGAGAGCAAAAATGAAAGCAGAAGATAGCCATAATTGATTCACATCAGCCTGCTAAAGCATGAGTCTTTTGTTATTGCCTTCTTCAATCGGGAGAATAAGATTATTTTCTGCTTGAAATTATAAAGTACTTAAAGATGCGCCTTTTGTTTTAGTAGCAGAAAAGCCATTCTCAGTGGGACTGAGGCTGTCACTGCAGATTAGAAGAGCCCTGGGGAACAACTGATTAACAGAAAGAAAACGAATGCAAAGCCCCTATGTCTCTGTATTGAGCTCATACAGGGGAATACAACTTTACTCAGCAGTTGTCAGTAGAGGATTATCTTTGAAACTAACATTTTATCAAAGCACCATAGTGGAGGATTATAATAGTAGTGGGAAATTTCCAAGCTTTCGTTTTTACTTCATTCTGAATTGAGATAGAGGTAAAAAACTCAACTTTTCATGACTGAGCACTGAGGAAGCAGGATAGAAGGCAGAAGATTTGAGTTAGACTGAATTAAATTGTTCCAACTATTTTTAATGTTTTATTAACTGTTTTTAACAAAGTGTTTCACACTGGAAGCAGATAATTGCCTTTTAAAATACTGCAAACTTAAATGTTTCCACAATTAAAAAAAAAAAATGAATTTGGGTCTTGGTCAGAACTTCCCTATGCAAAGTTCCCAGTCTGATGAGTCATGTATACTGCAGCAAAAAAAGGTTTCCCTGAAAAATCCACCCCCCCAGTTCACATCTGTTGACTAATCCGCTGTTCTACTCTTCAGATTAGCAAAGTGAAAAATGTTGGTACTTTATGAAGCAAATGAATCCTCCTCCTCTTTTGTCATAACCTCTGGTCTACCTCTGGGGTGTGCTGAATGGCTTCGGGTCTGAATCAGTGCCAGTGGAAGACGTGCAGCACA